CTGTCTATCCAACGGCGCAGGAGATAAGGTCAATTATGCTTACGATGCCGAACGCGGCCGGAGCTTTGTTCCGATAATGACTAAGTCCGATCGGACTATGTCATCATGATTACTTACTTACTAATCACCGATCGGACTTAATCTTATCGCATTTAAGAGGGTCAAAGTGGTGGGGGATCAGGGTTAGGGGGGGCTTAGGGCGTGCTTTTTTGAAGATGTCTCCGGGTACGCAGTCAGGTTGCGTTTCCGGAACACAAGTCCTGTCACATAACATCAGGGTATGCAGCACCTCTGTGTACCCTGATTGAGAGGATTGAGCTTAGAGTGGAAGCATTGATGTTGTGGCATAATTGAGTTTGGTCACGTAACAATGAGGGTACACAACACTATCCCCAGAAAACTGGCACCAAGCCCCTTGGTGCCAGGTTTTCGGTGGAACAAGGTCTATAGCACCACAACCAGGCCGTTTCACCTGGAACAAGCTAGTGTCCCAGGTGCCCCACGACCTAGCCCACGACCTCTCCTTGGTTTGGAGACGATTGCTTTAGCCGTCATTGAGCTAGACACCTTGTTCCATATTCTCAGGCTTTGAAATTTCAAGTATTTGACAATAACCAATGGTTAGATGCTTAAACTAGCTAAAACAAGGCACCATCTCAAATAATCCTCTGATAGGGCTACCTGATGCACTTTAGGGCATATATATACTTACATGCAATTCCCCATATAGCTTGCGAGGCATTTGTCTGTGCGGAGTGCCTAACAGCCTCATTTAAGGATTGAGCATGTGTACCAGAAGGAGGGGCACCCACTGCTTGAGAAGAATCACAAGATTCAGCAAAGAAAGGATTGTGCTGTGTTTGAAATGTTGCGGAAAACACTGCTTGAAGCGCTCTAGACATCTGCATCTCAACCTTACAGACACATTTGCGGTACTCACACTGTTCTGGAGTGATCCCTCCTATGTGCTAAATTCGAAGAAATCAGTGGGTCAGCGAGCAAAGGTTAAGGGCTACAAAGCAATCAAACTGTGAAGGTCCCACACAATTAGGGTATAGAGAGCCCCATCCGGCGGATCGCAGTCAATAGAACATAAGATGGAGCATGCACAGCACCGGGGCGGAACAGCATGATTAGCAACCGAAGGAAGTCCTGAGAAGCCCCACAGGAGTGACCGCGGCTAGAGTCACATCAGCATGGTCAAAAGTCTGATGTCGGGCACAAGGAGGAAGGCAGGGAACCCGGCCCTGTCGCCGGGCCTCACATGGGACACCTAGTGCTCGCTTGCGTGTAGCGCGGCGAAGAGTCATTGAGTGGACGCTATAGTCCGAGGGGCATTGATAGCTTAGGCTGACTCAGGAACGGAGTCCACAAACTCCCGCCATTGCCAAGACAGGATCCAGACTGCATAATTGGACAGTAGCCGCACTGTGTGGAAAGCCGACGAACTTTGTGAATGAGAGAGGATCCAGAATGACGGCACAAAGCTAATGCTGCTCTCAGTTTACGAGTGGTATCCCTGCCCACGCAAGACACCAGTAGCTTAGGAAGAATAGCGGAAACGTCCTCGAGCTACAATAGACGGACCTCCTGAGTCCTAAGGAGAAACAAGCTAGTAGCGGCGTTGTGCACGTATGATCACGTTGTGGTTCTGTATCAGTCCGAGAAAAGCCGTCTAGTGTCCACACACGCAGGCCTTCGTGCAAGAACCCGAAGAGAAGCAAAGAAGGTCATGGCGACATGCCGGCGAGCTGCTGCGGCTACAACTATGTTTAGCTCCTCAAGTAACTGCCTTTGGAAGTGAGCACTCACTGACGTCGTTACAAGTGCTATGCGAAAGTAGAGGAACCGAACAGGGTTGATTGCAGTGCACAACTACGAGTAGACGCGTTGCTTGAACCGCATCGCGCGTCTCGCACAAACGGAGAGCTCGATTGGGCACTACCCATCCTACTCGGAGCCCCCGCACTAAGCAGCAACGTCGACGCGCGGCGCGACCGAGGTAGGCGGAAATCTAGGCGAGACGGACGTTTCCGCCGTGGCTTCGCGGGCGGCTCTGGACAACGGCGAGCGAGATAAGCGTGCATTGAACTGAATCTAGTACACATACGCGCTACAGCAAACCAAACGAGTGAGTCCGCGTCCTGTCAAGAGGGACGGCGCCACAATTAAGAGAACGCGAGCCTGACGCGGACGCCCGTGAGTCGTGACGCGCACGCATAGCGCTCGAACGGCATCTTGTGTCTCGTTGCTTCCACCTGAGATCAGACCGGGATTACGCTTAAATCCATAGGATTGGTAGACGCACCTCTGGACTTGACGTCGGGCAATGATCCATCGCCAGATACTCCGCAGCAAGATAGTGCACGACAGATTGGATTCTGAATGCACACGCCATTAGTGCGAACAAAATATTCAATGCAAAAGTACGGCATCAGTGCGCGTTGACAAGTCGCACCTTTCGTCAACGAGCGGTCCCGACCTCCCAAAAGCAGACAAATAACACTCATTCATGGAAAACAGTGCATTTTCGGCGTATGCCGGTAAAATCCAGGCCCAATTGCGAGGTCGAGACGTGTTGGAGGTAAGCTAGCACCGGGGAATCCCGCAGGCCCTAGACCGCAGGCCGACGCGCCCATAAAGCTGCGAACGCGGTAAGTGGTGGCTGAACATCTAGCATACGCAGCATCACACGCGAGCGGGCTAGTGAGAAGGCACAGCAGCCGAACTTGTGGAATTGGTCGTGTGCCACAAAGCTGGCGTCCTGTCACGAGTTAGGTTCGAATGCGGGTGAGTTCTCTTACGCCGTCTAACAAGGATACAATCTACACGTGTGTGCTTGCCGTGTGGACATCGATGTGGAAGGGTCCGAGCGGGATGGAAAACCACGCGTCAGGGCGTGTGACAGAAAGAGGGACTATCGTCGACAGAATTACCGTGAACAAGGGTGCATGCGGTGGCCGCTACGCCGGCAGCGGGGCGCGCGTCGATCTAGACCATCACTGGCTGCGTTGGGGGTTGGGGTGGCAGCAAGCACGTTCAACTGAGGTGCTTTTGATTGCTCTCAGGCGGAGAGGTATGATGCGGTGGGTTCGTGCATGGCGGTCGAATGTGACCAACTCGGGTAGAGAAAATGTGACAAGAGTCCGAACCGGTGACACGCTGAGGCCTCGAGTCGGGGTCACCTGGGCATGTCGGGCAACAAAAGGAGGGATCAAGATTCGGCACAGACGATGGCGGGCACGGAGGCGATCGACAGGAACGAGTGCGGCATACTAGCCAATCGCGAAGTGAGGATGGTGCAGACGATACCAAGAATAGGCAGCCGGCGGGGGAAGGAGGAGAGGACGGAGAGGACGCGAACATAGATAGCAGATGCTAGATAGGAGGGGCGAGGCGGAACAGCTGGCAGGTGGCTCTTCCAAGGCTGTGCCAAGGGAGCAGCGAGTTTCCGCGGACGCGCAGGATGGTTGACTGGCAAGATCCGGTGGCATCGCCCGTGCGGCCACAAGCTAACGGGCATGGCGAATAGAATTCGAAGGCTGACAGAGCTAGTATTGGGATGTATATTTGCCGGACGAGCTGCCTAAGCGTAAGTATCGAGAATTCGCCGGAGGACGATGGCGCTCGGTGTCCCAAACGCTGGCGCGAACCACGGGCGAGGCCACGAGGGCGGCGGCGGTTGCCGAGGGATGATCGAGTTGCGGACGTTCTTGCATGTGGCCTGTGTACGTACGGTGCGGGGTGAATGTCATCCGTCACCGCTAAGGCACGCGAGCGCGGTAAGAATTGGAGAAGAAACGGGAGAGGAAGCGCGGGTGCAGAGCGGTGGGGGAATTGGAGCTGAAGAGGGCAAGGAAGGGCCCGGGGACCTCGTGTCGACGAGGGTGTCGGGCCGTTCGGGGAGTGTTCGGCAAGGGAAAGTAGGATAGACGGACGGCGAGGATAAGGGAGGCAAGTTGTTTGGGAGGGTCGTGCTGCGAGCGAGGGTGAGAGGCGGCTTGGAGATGGGCGGTGAACAGGACGGCTGGGGGAAAGATGGCGAGGAAAGGGAAGGTGAGCTTGGGCGGAGTACCGAGAGAACGGTAGGATAGGCTAAGAGGGCTGGGGAAAGTGGGCCGACAGGCGTGTGGCAGGGCAGGAGTGGCTAGTGGGGAACCAACGTGGCTGATCGCGATAAGTTGCATCGCAAACGGAACCTGGCGCAAACGGAGACCAGTGGCAGCGAGAGCATAACAAGACAACGGTATTCTGCCGCAGCCGAGATCACGCTAGGGAAGCAGATGTGGCTGGGCGCACACGGCGAGGAGCACTAGAAGAGACGCGACGGAAGACGGACTTGAGCATGGCGGGGACGAGGATGGCCAGCAGTTACCGGCCAACCCTACTTACTCGGAGTAAGTAATACTCGTCGTACTCCTGCAGGGTCGGGATGCGATGGCCGGGGTCTCTGGATCAGAGATGGGAGAATGCCGAGGGGGACGGGGAGATCTTGTGTGATCTGCGGAGGAAGCCGAGAGTCGGTGTCGTGCTTGTGCTGGACGTCCTCCTCCTCACCGCCTAAATACTTAGTCCCCGTCCCAGCCATGGTCCTCTCCGACATTCCCTCCCCTCCCCGCCGCCCTGCCCCCATCCATCCCCCACCATCCTATCCCCCCGCAGTACTCATCCCCACATCCACACACTCCAGCTCATGTCTACCCCCGACGCCCCCCGTTCGCCCGCTCGCAACTCAAGGTCCCGCTCCGCCTCAGGCCCGGACGTCTTTGTTAGTTTCTCCTTCTCTCGCTCTCCCCCCCCTAATCTCTATCCATCATCTTCTCGTCCCCCACTTCCCTCGTGTCCGTTCTTACCGCCCATCACGCCCAGTTCGATATCGAGATCGACGGCGTCCACGCAGGTCGCATCGTCTTCCGCCTATTCGACTCTGTCTGTCCCATCACCGCCCGCAACTTCCGCGAGCTCGCAACAGGCGAGAATGGCTATGGCTACTCTCAATCATACTTCCACAGAGTCGTCCCTCAGGTCCGCACTGCACTCCCGCGCCTCCCTTCCATCTCTTCTTCTCCCGTCCCATCTCACTCACGTTCCCTCCCCCTTCCAATCCAGTTTATGATCCAGGGCGGTGACATCGTAGAAGGCAATGGCACCACTGGCCGCTCCATTTACGGACCCACGTTCGCAGGTACGTTAATCAGGTTGCGTAGATCTCCTTTCACTGGCTCATCACCTCTCTTCCGTTCCCTCCCTCACACATTCCCTTCCTATCCCCGTCTCCATCTCTTCTCGCCTTCTCTCTCACTCCTCATCCATGCGGCAACAAACTCTGCTCGTCAGACGAGAACTTCCGCGTACGCCACGACCGTCCTGGTCTTCTCTCCATGGCCAATCGCGGCCCGCATACCAATTCCTCGCAGGTACGTTCTATTCAGTTTCCGCACCCACCCACGCCAAGCGGACCTAATCCTGGTCCTGTATGTTCCGTCTCTATCTTGATCATCCCGTACTCGTGACCAGACCAGCTTGACTGCATTCGTGATGCTCGCCATCTGAATCATGCCATGACATGCCGGAACACGGCTCCCTTATATCACCCATGCTGATCCATTCCCGTCTAGTTCTTCATTACGACCGTTCCCGCACCATGGTGCGACATGCGCAATGTCGTGTTCGGTGAGGTCATACGCGGGATGGACGTCGTAAAGAAGATCGAATCTTACGCGTCAGATCACATCCTCTACAAGCCCTCTGTGGACGTCCTCATTGCCCGCTGTGGCACACTATGAATTCACTTTGGGCCCCTCCACAGCCCAAGCTTAGCGGCACCCGCGGACCCTGGTCTAGGCCTTGCACCATACTCATTTGGATACTGCTACCGGTGCTACTGGCCCTTCTGATGCTACACAGCCCTTGGCCGACACGACATGTGTCGTGCCCGCTCCCACTGCCCAACCGCGCGGGCGTTATTGTTGCCGCTATTCTGTCTTGGTTAACCACATTCATTGTAACATATTCGCATCGTATCCCCGCCCTGAGTGCCCCTCGTCCCATACGTATCGCATTCAGAACCGACTTCGTCGTTTTCCCTAGCCTCGGCCTCATATTTGTGCTCCAGCTGATACCTCACGTACTCCCCACACGCCACGAGAACGTCTTTGTAGAAACGCGCGTTGGAACCCCGCACACTCCAAAAGTTGGCTTTATGTATCGTCATGTAGTTGTACCGCATTGCCCGGACGGCAGGCAAATAATATGGCTTGGCGCGTGCGCATCTGACATTGATGTCTAGTTTCGAAGATCGTCGTGAGATCGGGGTCAGTTAATTGCGACGTCCGAGTCCGACGACGCTTTTCCCCGCAAGGCTACTCCGTCTCCCAGCTGTCTCCTCTCAAGATAGACGCCTATTGTCCATCACAGGCGCTTGTGGAAAGTGGAGGAACCGCGCTCTCGGTCGTAACGGCCACTATCTGCCCTCCTCCGATCTCATTCATTTTCTGGTCCATTTGCTCAGACTTATCGAACATTGGCGGGCCACGTGTTTCACTCTCCCGAAGACTCGATCTGCCACGCAAACGATGGGGAAACTGAACATCGCTCACCACAAATCATACCATCCTTACCGCCGGGACAATATCGAGCGGGTTCGAAAGGATGAGGAGGAGGCGAAGCAGAAGGAGGCAATTGAGGAGGGGCGGATGATGCTTGCCGTGCGTTCTCTCCACTGTAGACCTTGTTTGTATGACTGAGGCGGATTCATAGGACTCGGAGGCGCGTATGGACCTCCTCCGCCAGCGTGCGGGTCTACAGGGTTCGAAAGCTCGCCGGGATCGGAAGACGGACGATATTGACCTCCAGATTGCTCGCGCGAGGGAGCAGGTCGGAGTAGATGAAGCCACAGCGACTGCAGCCGGCCCATCGACCCTCACGTCCAAGTCCGGGCATATCAATTTATTCGAAGACTTGGAGCAGGTGGGTCATCCCCACTTCCATTGTGCCGTACTTTGGTTCTGATATGACGACGGCTGATTTCCTCATGACCTCGCATCAGCAAAACCTCATGACTATCCCCATCCGCTCAACAAGGCGTCCCGCACCCGTCAAGGAGAGTGAGAAAGAGACGGACCGCGGCGTCGCGCTTGCGCCGAGTGCGAAGGATCTCAAGCCGTGGTACTCTGACCGCAATCGTGACGATGGCGGAGATCCGGATGACGATAAACGGTGAGTACGTCTTCGATGTTTTTGGCCATCTGGCTGCCACCCCAGGGTGTTCTGCCCAGGATCCCTGTCTGACTTGCCGTGTAGCCGAGTGCTAATTGTACTGAACTTTCTGCTGTCCATGCTTCTTCTCTGCCGATGACCTCACTACCACCCCGGTTCGTCGCCCCTCACTCCATTTCGGGGGCGCCCCACAACTGCGGGATCGCACGTCCAAACCACCTTCGTTGTCCACTCTGCCTGTCGGCCCGCGCACACGCACACGTACCCAGACTCCGGGACCTCGTGCGCAAATCCGTACACGATCCCTTGACAGCCATCAACACCCGGCTGGCTTCCCGAGACGGCCCTTCAAGCTCAACTTTCCCTGCTCGCGCCACGCACTCCCGCTACCACGCGCCCGAACACTCACGAGATCCGCGGGTAGGTCCTTCCGAACCTCGATCTGGGGGTGACGGTCCTAGAGGAGGTAGCACGAGCGCGGGCGCAGAGAGGACGTGCCGCGAGTCCGCGGAGCGCCTGCGCGCGCTGGAGCTGATCAAGCGGAAAAAGAGAGAGCTGGAGGGGAGCGAGACGCCGAGCACTGTGCGTGGTGGATACGGATTTGGATCTGTGGGCCTTGGATACGGGGATGTGTTCAACCGGACGGAGGTCGAGGAGGTGCAGAAGGCGCGGAGGGGCTACCGGGACGATAGGGGTCGCGAGAGGGATAGAAGACATTAGGCGTCGGTGAGTGCCCGTGAACCGCGGTCTCAGGTTTGACCCTTGTGTAGGTCTCAGTCCGTTCCTCTCGTGATTTGTCCAGATCACTCCGACAACAACTATGACCGTATAGAAGGGTCTCGGGTCAGATCGTTGCATTTTGCTCCGGTGTCGCACCGTAATTGCCGTGTATGTTTCACCGTGCACTATTCCAAGCACTCTGTTAGGTCATCTGATCCCGAGACCAGGCGCATGCGGCAACTGGTGTATGACACTTAACGCAGGGTAGCACGACAACGTTTCGTTCCGCTGCTGAGACTAAGCAAAGGATTCACTAAATCTCGATTTGGCGTGTGGTGAGCGTCTCGCGCTCTGATCTGTCCTTGCATGATTCGTCGCACGCTGACTTTTTTCTCAGCATGGGCAACTCTTGAAGCTCTGAAGTCGCTTAACCGGCTTCCATCGTGCCCGCCTGTGGAGTGAATCCTAGCCACAAACGCACAAGCGCTCCGGTATACCGCGACGTGGCTACCGCTTCCAGAGCCATGAGTTACTGTCCACAACCACCTCCACCTCGCGAGTGTGCTGTCTCCGGACGTGCATTGTCCGCATTGTCCGCATTGTTCGGTCAGTGCCGAGCCTCTTGCTCAGTGCCCTGAGCGTATACAGTTCGAAGATGGTACACCAGGGGGACGGGAGAAGAGAAGGGAAACTCATCCAGCACAAACCAGCGTAGATCTACCGGTTCCATGCGTTGTGGGAATGAACATGTGTATGTATACGACACCGACGGTACACGGTCACACTCGAACCCTGTGAGTTTCTTCATTGTGGACCCTTTGCTGGGCTGGTGTTGTGCAGTTCCTGTTTTTGATCTTTCTTCACTGCCCTGCGCCACGTGTCTCAGGACTGCTTTCGAGTGTTACCATCGCTTCGCAGAATAAGAACACGCTCGGCTACCTGCTCCGCGGGGCCTCGAACGTCAGTTGCGTCACTCGTTCCCTCACAGCGGCAGCAGAACCCCGAGGAATCTCTTATGGTTCTCCGGTTTTTCCGATCCCCTCTCGCCTCGGGAACGTCGGGCCTCGCACGAAGCCTCATCTTTGAACTTTATCCTGATCCCCGTTCGCTCGTCCCACGACCTGGCCGCCGAATGACGATGGCGTGGTGCCTGCTTAGATATCCAGCACGTGGGCATCGTTACCGATGTCATTGAGATATGAGAGGCTTCGGAAATAGCCTGCGACTCATGAGACGTCAACCTGTAGCTGATCGCCGCCACTTAAGCAACTTTCAAGCCGTAACGCACCAGAAGCCGCTCGACTGCTTCATCGATGGGACTTCACAGACCAGAACGCGACAAGCCGGTGTTAAATTGAGGTAAGCACCAGGTTCGAAGAGCCTGTTTGCATCTGGGTAGTCAGGTTAGCTCCGAATTTACTCCTACTGCACGTAGTGAACTGACAATGATTTTGACATGCTCAAGATAGTGTGCGAACGTGTTCGCCCACACTTCCTGGCTACGAATCGCTTCGCGATAATTTTTACCGATCTCGCTTATTGACACAAGACCCTCTAGACGACACATCCTAGTCTTCCTGACGGCTTCGCTGCGAGTTCGACTCTGGGGTACCCCTGCTCTAGCTGAGCTCACCGTTGCTTGCGACGACGGCCCTGACTGACTTCGCGCACTATCACGACCGCCACGTAGACAGTGTTCGAGTGCATTTGTACATATCGACGCCGACAGAAGATGGCTACCGAGCAATGTTGTAAGTGTTCATATGCTGTTCAGGGAAGCTGTATGTTGCATCTAACTGCATATACGCTGGGGTTCTATTGCAATGTTCGGGCCCTTCCTCCCTTGCCTCCACGAGATTCCTGCCATGTCTTTGGCATCCGCTGCTCATTCTTTCTTGCGCAGACAGCGTACTTTATGCCTGGCGTTAGCTACGGCCCTAGCGTCAGCTTGACGCATTCGTCTCAAGGGGAAGCATTACCGCACGTTCGAATGGTTGTTTCCGCGCCTCAAGGTTCGCAGCAATCTAGGTGGGCGTTGCCTTTCCACAAGCGAAATATTTTCCCGAACAAAATTGATCCTTCGTTAGAATCATCCTGTGACGAGGCCAAGGCAAGACGCCGGTCTGTCAACAACAAGATATTGTATATGATCTTGTCTTTGGCGGAGGCCTTCGGTCGGGTCTGCGATCAAGGAAGCGGTCTGTGAATCTCTATCAAGAAGGACAGGTGCTTGAGCGGGGCCGAAGTATCGCTCGCAGCTACCATTCAAGTTCCATCACGCCGACCTGATTTTTCTATCGTTCACCGTGCTTCTTGCGTGGCATTCCCCGGGCGGGTGTGGGAACGAGAGCATCTGGCACCCTACTTCTCTAGACAGTGACTGGTAGGGCGACAGCTCGACGGAGATAGGAGATACCCATTCATGCTCCTGCGGCGTCAGCGGACCGAGGAGTTAGATTTTCAGGTGCGAACTCACGGCAGGCGACAACCTGTTAGTATCTTCAACGATGTACCTTCTAGACGCAGTATGTACCCCAAATCTATTACCTCAGGCATCTCATGCTTATGCAGGGGCGCCCAACTATGCGGGACGGGCTGACAAGTGAACGACTCCCGAACCGCCCTGGACACTTCTGATTGCTTTTTTCGTGAGTGTACACACTCCTCTGACTTCGGCTACAAGACATGGACACCCACGCATGTCGAACAGTTGATTCATATGGATTGATCCGCAGTCAATCGCGAGGTAAAGTGTCTCCATAGCTTCGAGCGAGTTACATTCAATGAACCATAACCTTTCTCCTCATACATCGGCCAACGGCCCCATTCTGCGGTACATAGTGGCGAGACGTATACGTCACTAGTGTCCAGCTTCGGACATCGTAGTGATGGTAGCGGTCATGAAAACGCTGATACACAATGCGAACCTGTGATGGATTGTTAATTTGTGAGCACTTCGCACCCTCGCTCTTGTATTCCCAGCGTTGAAGACGTTCGCATTCGTTGGCGCCCTTACTCTAACGATGCCGGGCGGTGGCTGATCTTGTGACTAGCATAGGGAACGGAGGAGAGCTTCCAGAGTATAACATCCGTGTGAATAGCGGAGTCTACATCGTGCACGCCTCTCTTCGATAGATGCTTCGCGAGAGAAATGGAAATTTTTTCGCATCTTCTGACTTCACACAGCTCGGCCCTGGCGTTAGTCTATTCGTCATCAGCCGGTGGCTGAACGGAGGTGAGAGTTCAAGATCATGCTGTCGAAAATTTCCTTGCTCAACGATGTGCTGGTCGCCTTGTCATAGGCTCGTCTCGCCCTGTCTCTGATCGCCGTCTCTCCCCCCGCCAACGAGATGGTTGCACGTTGTTCATTGCCGCCGAATAACGTGTTCAACGGCAACGTCTGTCCATATCTGACGAGGAGGACATTGGCTGCTCTCTACCGCACCGCTCTGCTCTCGTCAGCATGAATAAACGTCACTGGGATTGACAACGACGCTCATGATTTTGCTGAGTTGGAAGCTGGGCCACCGTTCTCTCGTACTGAGCGGATGATGTACTGGCGAGCGTCGACTGGTAAGCTTGTCATACTTCAATCAGGCAGTGCCGAACCATACCTCCTTTCTCTTTCACGCAGCAACCTGTTACCATAAACTTGAGTGATTGGTAGTTGGATCTTCGCAGGTTGATGGTGTCGGGCCAAGATCCGCTATAGGCGCCATTTATTGGAGGACTTGATGAAGAGCAATCTGAAGAAGTCCCTGTGCTAAGCGCCAGAGCTATGACACACGAGGCACCAGAGGTTCTAAACCGTCGAGTCACTGACTTGTCTCCGTAGCCAGACTTTCGCGGCACATAGCGCGTATTGTGATGTGGCAAGAAGCGTACATACCGACGTACAGCGGTGCATAGCTTTGAGGGCTAATTGACAGGTCATTAAATCCCTCCCGTGCGCAAGCTGTACAGATCGGCCTGCTCAGACCCTCCATATGTAACGGTCCCTACAATTTGAAGCCTCATTCACACTCGGTTCACATATCAGCACTGTCAATCTCTGTCAGTGTTCATATCCTCAGTCTTCTCCGGCGGGTATGGACCACGTTTCTGGGGCGGTCCTGGGAGGATTTCGCTTGTCTTTCGGGTGCGCGTGTAGTCTTGAGCACCAATCTTGCAGTCCGAACAGTACGGTGTGCCGAAATCCGCGCCTCGCATGTTCGTGGAGCCCTAGCTCTGGGAATGACATGAGAATATCGCCCAAGATGGTGACAGTCTTGCTTTGAGTCGGGCGAAAGGGATAACGCCGATATGATGTACCTGGTATTGGACACCATTTCGGCACTTGTCTCCGCAGCACCGTGCCATGCATGACAACATGACTGGCACAAACACTATCAGACGACTCGTGAAATAGCTTGCTCGTGTTCTCTTGTCTTCCCCAGTCTACTTATTCATTCTTCGATCTTAGTCTCGTAATTATAGGCTGCCTGCCCTGCCAGGTCATGGATTTGCTGTATAAGTGAGTCCGTCTCTCAGGCACTATACGCGGGCATCTCGCCTTATTTACAAAATATACTGAACGAGCAAGTTGGTTCACACTGTGAACCTTCCTGGAATGTCCACTAGTACCGTGACTAGGACACTGGCAGATCTTATGCTTCGGGCCCTCAGGGCTGGGATACCCCTCGGACATGCAGTCCCGCATCTCGGTGACAAGTATATCCACAGCGTTGTTTCACAGCTTCCTTTCCGACATCATCGACTATGTAGTACTCAGGCTGGATGCGTACAACAACACCTGCGCCATATTCAGCTTGGATGAGGTGCGCTAGCTTCGATTTTGCACTAATTCGGGTGTGTCCTAGCATCTGCTGCTAAGCCTATGGAGGCTTGCTCTCGGACGACAAGTGACTATGATAGACACTCAAGATATAGATCGCCATAATTTCTGTCTCCCGGCTGACTGGGGTCCCTCCCCCACTGGCATGTTGATACGGATCTCAGCGAAGTCAGCTATTCCGAGCATCTCGTATTCAATACGTAGATGCTCCGATCAAACCTTTACTACGACGCTATCTGCGGCATTTTGCCTATTTTTAGCTCAGCGGACCGCTCTCTTCGTGAGCGGCGAGCGCAGTCGGTTCCGCGTCCTCTCCACATCATGCCCCTCCGTGTCTCGTTCAACCTAGCCTGTGCTCACGTTGATCATCGTTCCCGGTTCCTGAGTCCAAAGGGGCCGACGATTGGGTGCGAGGACTCTCTAGCACTATGTAGTACATGTTCCTCACACCTTAAGTTCAAGGCTGCGGCTGCGTGGATGACAAGCAACCACCTCGTCATCAAGGCCCGGATGACAAGTCTGTTACCCGCCACAAAACGTCATCCCCTCAGTGTGATGGCACCCTTCGCCGACAGCGAGTGTGCTGCTGGTACGCGAAGCGCATCCATGTCAGTGTCAGCCGACGCTTGTGTCTGACAAACGTATGAGCACATTGCAGGCCGCCAGATGATATGACCAAGCGCTTTGACGCAAACCTGGCAGGGTTGACGTTGACCCCTCAGGACCATATCTGGGCGATGCCTACCACTGAGGTGTAAGCAGAAAATTTTGACCGGCTCCATATGCCTGACGTCGCGATATTCAAGATGATTCTTGCACACTAGAGGAGCACGACTCTTGTCAGTCACGTTGATCCTGTTTATCGTTTTGAGAATCATTGGCTCTTCACGACTCATTCGAACACGGACTCTGGTTCGGCGACTTGCGCAGAATAACATATGGACCAGAGCATAATCATAGCGCTGCTATTGTTGCAGAGGTGTTGCCTATGATAGAGACGCAAATATAGCCCAGGTCTGGAAGCGTCAGAAGAGACGCGCGAAAGAAGCGACAGACCTAGGAGATCTAGCCTTATTAGTGCATTACAGGTAATATACACATCATATTCCTATCGTTGCAACGACACGCCTAATAATAATAGTTCCAATAGCCTCGAAGTCCATGTCACACCCAGTCCCATTCATGAGATGTAGTGGAGATTATACAGACGCATACGGGAGAGTCAGCGTTCCACACGCATCGTCGATGTCAGACCAAGCCATATCCTGCTCGACCGTGTGTCGAAACCCAGACGTCTGCCGTAGTTGTCCACCGTACGTTGTCGTATGGTCGAGCGGATGGCAAACGTCTGAGAACATCACGAGGAAGCACTGCAACTAGCAAGGGAGCCCGTTGCCTCATCGAAGCCTGAGGTTTCGCAACTGACGCTGTACTTCCCGGATATCCTTCCTGTTCCACTCGCCCGTCCACGACTCCGCACCAGTCACCCACACACGTCCCGAATCTGGACTCGGTACTGGATCGCGAGGGACGGTTGTGACCGAATACGCAACGGGAGGATACGTCTCAGACGTGAACATATTCGCAGCGTGCGAGGGTGCACGCGAATGATGGTATGATTTCGAGGGAGGCTGGGGAGCTGACGGGGCTGCGAGCGCGGGAGACATGACCCCATGCTTGAAGTCCACAGAAGCACTCCGTCTCCGCGGGCTGTCCTTCGATGAGGTAGACCTCGCGCAAGAGTGCACGAGCGGATCGGTCTTCTGCGAGGGGGACAGTGGCTTCGCGCGCGGGCTCCGTTGCTTCTGCGAGTCCGCATTCGCTGGTTTGTAAGGCGCACTCCCGAGTCGAGGGGACAAGAGGGTCTGCGCGGCGGATGTGATGGCGACGGGTGATGGGCGCTGAGCGCGCGGGGTCCTGAAGGGCATGACCAGCTCTGCAGGGACGTTTTCCCCCAGCGTGCGTTTCAACTTCGCGAGACGCCTCCTCCGCGTCTCAGTCGCGGTGGGCGTCGATGGTGTTACGGGCGTCGTAGGAGTAACAGGGATCGCGGACCGGGTTGCTGTGCTGATGCTCTTCAGCGTAGCGACGGTATCGGGTGTGGCGAGACGTGGGTCGGAAAGGGGGAGCGCGACCGCGTTCAACCTGAGAACGAGAGGAGTGGGAAGAGGCATACATTTGCCCTTGCTCTTCGACCTCTCGCGGACGTGACGCGCGAAGGATTTGGGTGCAGGCAGCGACTGGGTAGACAGCTCGGAGTCGTTTGAGTCGATGCTTGACCGGGGGAGCGCGAGCTCGCTCATGGACGAGCTGGCGGAGGAAGATGCATAGTCGTATGCGAAGGGTCCTGAGGGAGGGAGGAACTCAAATATTGAGCCTTGGCGGCGCTTGCGGTCGCGTTTGGAAGAGAACGGCAGTGGCCTCTCTCTGTCGGGTGAGACGAAGACGGGCGAGTCGCTCTCAGCCAGGTGAGGGGTCGTACCGAGGACGGCCCCAAGCTTTCGCGTAGTACGGATGAGGCGAGTTTTCTGGCGGCTGTCGAGGGTGTTGTAGGTGGGAGGTGGATGGTTGAACTGGCAGTAAGCGGTCGTGGCCGTGTTCATCTTTTGAGAAGTTGTGGCGAAGGATAGAAGATAGACAGAAAGCGAGTGCAGATAGACTAGGAATCAAAGTGGAGACGATTATGTGTCTAAATTCGAGGAGGACAGGAAGAAACAGCGGTCAAAGTGAAAGCCGAGGGCTTGCTGCAACGTACACAGTACGCGAGGACTGGGGGATCAATGTCGACGAAGCGAAGAGAATAAGATCGAAGGAATTATAGAAGGAAAGACAAAAACGACAGACAAGGATGGGATGGCAACATGGGAGAAGAACTCACAGGTGAATTGTGCTCGGGAGGGCAATTGTTGTATGTGCGGTGGGCATGGGAGCCTTCGGGAGACGGGTCCATCAAGGTGACAATAGCCCAGGTTACAACAAGTCCCTTATCCGGATTGAACGCCTCCCATCAAAACAAGACCTCCTCTGCAGTGCCTCACCGCGGCTCCAAACCTCTTCGCAACGCGTTCTTAGTTGTCTATCGGCCTCACCTGACGAGCTAGCGGTTACAGTCATGGAGGACGTGGTGGAAAGAAGCTGTGGATGACGGTCGTCCATGGCGCCCGCCGGTACAATAGAGATTATCTGTCAATAATGTCTATAGAGGCCGGCTGATATGGCATAGAAGCCGGGATAGTCAAGTCAACTACTGATCATTAATCTGAACAACTTACCCACTTCACAACATCCCACACTCTAGCGCCTATGCAGCCGCGGCTATTGTCTGGCTTGTTTGCACACCGTCATCGTCTTTGCCTGCTCGGTGTTTACGAGTCACGACAACCTTGTACTCTCTAGCCTTCTCTCGGTGCTCATACTCTATGTCTGCCTTGTCGTTGACACGTTCCCTCAATGCCATCAATACCATGATGCGAGGCGATGCTCTGGTCGTGGTTCTAATCATCTTCTAGCTGCTTCACCCCCCATCTGGAACCGTCGTCATTGTTGCGAGATTTATGAGACAGTAGATGATGACACTTCCGCTCGGAATCGGGTTGTGAGGGGCACTGGCCGAAGCGCGATGACGGGCACTGGTGCCGCGCTATATAGTACAGGTGGGTCCACATCCAGACTGGCACACGCTAGCACTACACCTCGCCTCGACATACCATGTGGCCCAGCATATGGTATGTTGTCCTGCATGACTCGGAGCCGGCCGTCGTGCGCTGTTCGCTGTATCAATCATGGTTATATCGCAGCGCGGATTGTTCATTCCCGTCTTTCTCGCAACCGTCAGTTGACGATTGAGCCGAACCGCGCTTATGCTCGTTCAAGAAGGATTGAAGTAAGTGGCCAGTTGTTCCTTCCTACGCTCCCGCGCCTTACTAGGGCGGCGAAGGCAGATTGCATCTCCTTGGTAGGTGGTACGAATCTTTCGGTCTACTTCTTCTGCAGTTGCTTCACAGTGGTCCCGTCTACCGCGTCGTGCACCTCAGGTATGGTTGATTCGTCAGCGGCAGAGAAACATGGTCGTTGGTCGGCTCCTGGTACTGCGCGAGGGACTGACTCTCGTGGATTGTAGCACCAGATCGCAGGGCGTCGAGCTGATCGGCCGTCGCTCGCCACGGTCTGTGATAAACCCGAAGTGGAACGATGCACACATCCCCGCGCGCAGCACTGGTCGGGAACGTACGGGTTCGAAAGGAACGTCGGCCAGTCATGCGGTGCCTTCCCCAGGTTTTTGGTGCCTTGAGCCGCTTCACGTAAGGTAGATCAATTACTATGTATGTAGCACGTACTAGCATTCTCACCGGATTGTATTACTTTGTACCTGCAAATTGAGTCGCTTGACGCTTAAAAGTATACCTGCCCTAGAAACTCAAGCCTCGATTCGACGGTTGCGAGTCAGTTTGTGGACTCAGGAGGACAAATGGAGTGCAAAGCGAACCGGGAGAGATGATGAAGCCAGCTATGAAAACCATCGGGTTGTGCCTGGCGCGGCAATGGTCAGTCGAGGCTAAGGCTGTCGAGCAAGCTTCACGTCAATGGCCTTCGTCTCCGCTCCCACCGGGGTTCCAGAGTTCGAGGCGCTTATCTTAGAATCCACAGTGCCCCCCCCCCCACCGCCGACGACTTTGTTCGATCGTCTGAGCGCAATGATGTGCTCTTCATTGCGGGCGGAAATCCGGAGAGCCTGACGGGAACGTCTTCGCCAAGAGGGCAGGCTGACAGATGCAGATGAGCAGCGTGTGAGAGTTTATCTGATAAGCGGAGCCTAGTATCTGATAAGATTTGTTCCCTGTCGCGTGCCAGCCAGATCAACCATTCCCTTCCGAAGGCCCACTCCTTGGACGTCGGCATACCATATGTCCCCTCTCTTCCCCCACCCTATATAATTCTCCATCAATGCGCACATACGAGCCTTTCTCTAGGAGTGCGCCTCTCAACTCGCCGTCCTTCCTCCCCTCGTAGCAGCCTCTCGGCTTTCCCTTGACGCCCCTCGGTAAAACTCGAGATCCAACGCTTGCACCCCATGTCTAACGAGAACGAAAAAGCCCTCCCCCCCGGCTCCCTGCACGACAGCCTCCCCGAGGATTCGATCCCGAAACTCGATGAGGATATTGAGCGGGAACTTGAGGCCGAGGAAGACGCTCACATCGGTGTCAAGGCCGTCGAGGCCGCCGAGAAAGTGTATGGCCCCCATTCCAAGTGGTTCCTCTTCATTGGGTACGTCCGTCGCAATCTCAGCCCAATCTGCTTCTCTGTGGATATCACACTTAACGCTCCCTTGCACTTTTGTGCCGACTGTTGTTCCCAGAATCGCTTTGGCGTCCTACATCTACTCGCTTGATGGCCAGACGACCTACAACTACCTCGCTTTCGCAACCTCTGCATTCGATAAGCATAGTCTCATTTCCACTATTCAGGTCGCACAGTCTGTCATCAGTTAGTTTGTGATAGCTTCCTTTTTCTTCACGTCTGACATCGCCCTATAGTCGCCTGCGGGAAACCCGTTATCGCCAAGTTCGCCGATGTCACTTCCCGTGCAACGGCGTACCTGATTGTCCGTAAGTGGTCCAGATGCCACCTACTGATGTCACATAGCTCACCTCACAGCGTCCTATTCCAGTCTGCTTCTACGTCCTCGGTATGCGCATTCGGCCGATCACGCGTTGCGACTCATCGCTAATGTTATACAGGTTACATCGTCATTGCATCCGCCAACGGCGTCGGTGCTCTCGCGGCGGGCATCATCCTCTACGCTGTGTACGTCCTGACATGCATATCGTCTATACGTGCACCTGACTCGGTAATACGCGTTGCTTCCACAGCGGATACACGTTAGTCTCGCCTCCGTCGTAGTGTCTACTCACCGTCAGAACTGAATTCTGCTCCCATGACAGCGGACTGCAACTCCTGACCTCTGTAATCATCGCCGACATCACAACCCTCAAATGGCGGGGTCTCGTCTCCGGTCTCACATCCGCTCCCTTCATCATCAATGCCTTCATCGGCTCCAACGTTGCGACCCAGGTCCTCGAGCATGCCGGCTGGCGCTGGGGCTACGGCATGTTCGCCATCCTCGTTCCGGCCTCCCTCGCGCCGCTCATCGTCACCCTCTTCTGGGCTGAACAGAAGGCGAAGCGGCTTGGGCTCGTAAACGTTCCTCGTGTAAAGCCCGACGTGGAAGCTCCTGTCGCAAACCCGCTTCTCAACCGCATGTGGGCCTTCGCGCAGCAGCTCGATGTCGTCGGCTTGGCTCTCATCGGTGCGAGCGTTGCGCTCATCCTTCTCCCGCTCACGCTCGCGCCCGAAGCGAAGAGCCAGTGGCATAATCGTGAGTCCCGTCTCCTCACCTTCGACGAACTTCAACACTCATATTGCTTGTACACAGCCTCAATGATCGCCATGATCACCATCGGCTGTGTGCTCATCCCGTTCATCGGCGGCTGGGAGTTCTACTACGCGAAGCGCCCCGTCATCGCGCGCCGCTTCCTGCTTAACCGGACGGTCATCATTGCGGCGTGGATCGGCTTCTTCGACTTCTTCTCCTTCTACCTCACGCAGACATACCTCTACTCGTTCATCCTCATCACCAAGAACTGGTCGCTCGTCAACGTCACTTACTTCAACCAGACGCAGTCCGTCGCGCTCACCGTCTTCGGCATCCTCGCCGGGGTCTTGCTACGCTTCGTACACCGCTACAAGTTAGTCCTTATCATCGGTCTCGCTATCCGTCTCTTGTAAGTCTCTCCGCTCGTGGTCTCCTCTCCCTACCCTGCAGTTGCTAAAGTACTACACGTTCTTCAGCGGTGTCGGCCTGATGATCCACTCGCGCGGCGCGAAGGCTTCTGATGCCGAGGTGGTCATGACCCAGATCATTCAGGGCTTCGGTGGGGGCTTTGCCTCCGTGTGCTCCCAGGTCGCAGCCCAGGCCGCTGTCCCACACGTCGACATGGCTATCACGACCGCGATGGTTCTCCTCTGGACTGAGATTGGCGGTGCTGTCGGCAGCGCCGTAGGTACGTACCATTGGTCAGTGCCATTTATAACGTCTTATAATGATCGCGCGTCGCAATGCGCAGCTGGTGCGATTTGGACGACCAACATGCCCCACAAGCTCGCGGAGCACCTCCCGAATGCGAACCAGACTACGATCGACGAGCTCTTCGGCTCCATCACGGACGTCCTGGCTCTCCCCTATAACGACCCCACCCGCGAGGGTGTCATTGACGGTACGTCTTGCCTGCGCTGGCGACCCGTCATCCCATACTTCTTCTGACGCATTTGTTTGTATTAGCCTACAGCGACGTGATGAAGCTGATGCTCATCGCTGCTACGGTGCTCGCCGTCGTGCCTCTCGCGCTGTCGTTCTTCATGCCGAACTGGTACCTCGGCGACAAGCAGAACGCCGTCGATGCCGCGGACCTCAAGGGCGAGCGCGCGGCGCGCCCCTTTCCTTCGTCCCAGTCCCAGATGCAGGTTGAGGCCTAAGAGAAAAGTAATCTTGTTTAGGTATGGTAACATATTGTGCTGAAGCAGTGCCTTGTCACGACTAGAGTATGATCACTAAAACTATAGTTATGATCGAGTTGATTGCTTAGCATGAGCTGAGACCGTTCTCAAAGCGACCGCTGGAATGTTGTGCTGTGCTCATCTCGGGCATTGCATTGGAGTTGCAGTATCTCAATTAAAGAATATCTTGACGAGTCAGCCCTACAAATGCAGAGAGTTGCAGTATAGGACGCGCCACCGCTACGATGGGTATTTCACGAAAGCCTTGTTTACAGCTTGGACGCGAGGCACTGCTGTGATACCGATCCTAATCAACACGTCGTCTACATAATGCAGGCTGTGTCTTGCCGAGGTATGTTATAAAGCAATCTTCAATCTCTTGATATGCAGACCGGGATTACGAGGCCCTACCCTGATGTTCGAAATCTGATAGTGTTGCATCATCATCCACTCCTCACTCTCCATTCCTGTAGAGCGGTGATTCCCCCAGCACATCGTGGAACCGTCAACAATAGAAGCTTCACGAAACTACTTCCTCGGCCGTTTCGGCTCCTTGGGTGAACATTCCACTGCTCACTTCTTCATGGGCCCACGATAATTTGGGTATAAATCGTCATAATCATCGTTGGTATGGGCGAGGAGGTTTCATGGTGTGACTATTATAATATACGCGTACTGCCATCATCTAAGATGTCAGTGCTCTCCATACGTATTGAGATTCTCCGAAGGCTTGTGTGCTTATGCGAACAATATCATGTTGCCATGTATCAGGTGTGTTTGTTTGCACACCTCTTGAGGTTGCATCGAATCCAGTGACAGTTCAGAACGCCTGTTTGCTCAAGAGTTGATGTTCAAGATTGACATCAATGGTGGCCAAATTCATCCATCGATTTTCTCGCTCGCATAAGTCATCCACGACTCACAGGCAACGCGTTATACCGCCCGGCGAGAACAGCAACTAATGTTTGGGACCTACAAGGGGCTGTACCATGCTAGACCGTGTCTAAAGATCTTGCGTTTCATGACACAGTAAGGATGCTGATTTTGGACCCTATTGTTACATAGCCGGCTTCGCGCCACGCAAGAAGTAGGGATGCTCTCTGTACAGCAAACAAGCACTACCCCATTCTTCAAGAGGGGGTTATACGCCCCTTCTCCCATTCACCTCGATGATCCATAATTGACCCTCAGCTCTCCGAGCCACTGGCATGAGACATGCGATTCTTCTGCTTGAGCGCTGGGAATGTTTGCCTAGTGGTAAAACGAGATCGCCGCACCCACAACCTCGCCGGACAGACGGTGAACTTCGAGGCGTTTCAACCCTTCACCTGGGCGTCCAGAGTCTATTTCGAGGAATGTCATGTAAAAGTTAGATCCGACGGTAGCCCTTCAAGGCAGAGAATGGAGGCATGGCTCGGAATGTTGGAGAACGTTTACGATTTCACGCAGCTGGCTACGTAGCAGGCTGCGTAACCACGTATTCACGCAGTTGATTGATAGCGCAGCTCGCCAAGCTCTGTGTATTACAGTGTGTATCCAGCCACGCAGTCGTCTGATTGTGCGTCTATTGTAAGTTGTAACTGGAGCGCCCTGAGTCCGGCAGGAGTTCGGCGAAGGGCAAGGCTCAAGTCTATACATGCTGCAAAGCCTTTGAGTAGACTCGTTTTGCACGCATCAGTAACTGGATGAATAGTAGAGAACATTTGGATCATAGTCGATCTGAATTGCGCAAGGAAAGGACTTTGTTGTAGGGGCCATTGAGAGCTTAGGATAGGATAAGTACTTAGCGTCGCTTACCCGATTAGGCGATCACACGACTGCACACTCGTGTTGTAACTGCAAAAGCGAACGCGCAACTGCGTGCATACATGGCTACGTAGCCAGTTGCGTGGAGTTGTAAACTCTCTGGAATGTTGGCGACGGAGAGATTGCCTACGTGTTAGGCAGCGACCAGGGCGTCTGTAGATATTATCTTCAGCGCTATCAGGACGAGAGCCGCGCCGATTACGACACCGCTGCCTGTACTAACAGGTTACGGAAGCGCTGATAGTATTTCTAAACCGCGTCTCATCCCGGATCTAGCATCATTTCAGGAGCCCCGCGCCCGAGAATCTCAGACTCACAAAGTAACTCAACAAGCTGGAACCATCTGGATTCTCGAGATCGCCAACATCCTTTCCATACGTAGCGACTACCCCTACAAGGTGACAAGCAGGACGGATCAGTCTGAAGCTGGTGAGCGCCATCTCCCCGTTCGAATTAGACCATTCCTATCTTCCATCTCAGCTGAAACTATGAGGATAACACATCAATAGTACATCTCTTCATCCGATTGCATTGCGTTCCTGATTGTTAAGACCTGTTCAACTCACAAAATTGGTCTGTCGGTGAGAATCTGCTCGTCCGACATTCCAATCTCCACCATGCTGAAGGTTCTCTCGTGTACTCAGCTTCCAGTATAAAGAGCACTCCGGGATCCATGTACCCAGAATCATCCAACAGTTAGCACCTCTTCCCACTATGAATCTCGCGACTCACGACGTTAATCTCACTGTACCCATGTACATCCATGCAGGGTCTGCTGCGAGCTTTTCTAGGTCGCATGGTTCAACCAGTCAATTCCGCACTGCACTCAGAAGCAGCCTATGCGACCGTGTCCTTTATAGGAATGCTGCACTCCTTGAGCAGTTTTTTGGAGAGGAGTCCACATCGTATTCCATTGACACTATCAAGGAAATGGTCGAGCAGGAGTGCAGAGAGGATCTCATAACGATCCGTGGTGAAGCCCTCGCCACTGCTCGATCCGGCGTTCCAACACCGGCAAATGCAAGTGCGACAAACAAAGACGGGTCTCGGACGCCCGAAACCGGGTTGTATCAACCCTTGGTGAGTCTCATAACTACTCCACAAAATGTCCTTCCGTTCCTTACATAATCTACAGATAAACATTGTTCTCAGTATCAACGAAGCCCTCAAGGCAAGTTCCCGTCAGCCGCCCCTGGATCCGTATCGCAACTTCATTTGCACTGGGAATACCCCTCTTGTTGCGTATGACGCCATCGAACCAATGGCCTTTAGATATAAACCAGACTTTGCATTCATGACCCGAAACGAGGATACCTCCAAGCCCGTTGCCTCAATGGCAGAGAAGGGTTCCCCGCCGTTGAATTGGCGTGACTGCACTTCCTTTGTTGAAGTCAAAGGGAGCGTCGATGATGCTCCTCATCCCGATGATTCTCACACGGGCTCCCCCAAGGACTCGCTAGTCCAAGCCGTGGACTACTGCCGCAGCATCCTGGACTGCCGTCCCTTCATGCTCCATGTGTATGGTATCATTCTCTGTGGCTACAAGTTCTGCCTCGTTTACGTCGACCGCTACGGAGTAATCCTCTCTCCTCATAGTTCCTTCCGAGACCGTGGCACTGGGGATGAACCGGATGGTCTGTCTCAATTCATACGGATCATTCTGCGACTCATGTGGGATGCTTCCGACCATGAACTTGGCATGGATCCCAATGTCACGAACAGCGGTAAACGTACCGATTTCGGTGGCCAGAAGTATCCACGTCTCACTGTTTCGATGACCACTCCCGAGGGGCCGAGCACTTGGAATACACTCGGGCCGCCTCTGTGGACCTCTCACACACTCTTCGGGCGTGGGACGTCAGTGTGGAGGGTGACAAAGTCCCACAAGCCTCCTTCCATCCTGAAAGTCGCGTGGTCCACGACTAATCGCAAGCCCGAGAGGGACATATACGCGAGCATCCAAAGCCTTATCGAAAAGGCTGGAGGTGAAAGTATTCCGGGGATGGTGAACTGCCATACCGTGGAAGGTGGAGATGTCTTCTACCCGGACGATCCGACCGTACCCATCAACGTGAGCTCCCTTCGGCCAAAGGGAACGCAACCTTGTCCAGAGCAGCCGCCGCAACTTGTGTACCCGGATCTGCATTTGCACCGCGTCGTATTTCATGACGTCGGAAAGCCCCTTTGGAGATTTAATGGCCATCCACAGCTCGTACGCGCTATGAAGATGGCATTGGAAGGTGTGTCTAAGCAACCGCTTCCTCATAACATACTGTCGTGGAAAATAACTCGTATTGTGTGCCGTCACAATAGCGCATGAAAAGCTCTGCGAACTGGGAGTTCTTCATCGAGATATCAGTCCAGGCAACATCATGATAAGGATGAACGTATCTCGGCATGAAAACCAAATCCAAGAGCTCGAAAAGGACGTAGAGCTCACGGAAGGTTTCCTTACCGATTTTGAGCTAGCGGAAGGCCCTTGGTCCGACGATACGCCAAAGCGGAACGATATTGTGACTGTCAGTGATTCATGATTCACGTATTAATGTGGAACACATCTGATCCTTGCAGCATACAGGGAACCTTCAGCGTCATGGCGTCCTCTCTGCTAGAGACCATTGCACAGGCAACATCGAAGGGCGAATCAGTGGCGGAGTCCGTTCTTCATCTTCCAGAGCACGATGTAGAATCCTTCGCCTGGGTTTTCCTCTTCGTCGTCTACAAATCCGCCCTCGACATAGCAAAGGATGGCACAAAAGCCCTCAAAGAGGATTTGCAGAATGAGTTCCGAGCGCTCTTTCCTGGAATATCACCGTCTACTATCCTGAAGGCTAGAGATGGGCTGCGGCATAGGGGCGCTACCGATTGCATCGAGGAGTACCTCGGGGACCCATCGAAGGATCCGCTTTTCGCCCAACTTGTTCTGCTGATCCGCGACGAGATACTGATACCGCGCCTGCCGCAGCCGATGCCAGCACCTACCTCCTTGCGTGCCGCTTTTCTGAAGAGTCGGAAGGCGAATGAGCCACCCAAACCCGAGCCCCTCACCCACAAGATCCTCTTGGACGCATTCAATCTGTACCTTACCCCCCCTGACGTTTCGAAGGGCGATGATGTTTCGAAGGGCAATGAAGCTACAGAAAGTGATGCATCCGATTAGTCTCAATGTGAATATGTACTAGTACGTTCTGTTTGCGGATCAGACCTGGTCATCCGAATTGTACTTGCGACGATTAGCTATGGCATGAATGTCTAATGAGGACGAGCACTAGCGTCTGGTCTACGTATTGCAAGCCCTCGGCCGTCCGACGGATAACAGTGATATAATTCGCAACGCTAACATCCATCTAAAGGTTCAGCCAGGCCGCCAAACCAGTCATGCGCACAAACACAGATAGGTGGCCTTCATGATGTCTTGCAACGGGGTACCATCGAACACATGCAATCATACCATCTGCAGCCCGCTCGCCGTCCTTGTATACTTCAAATGTGTCCTTGTCTCCGCGCGATAGACCCCTGAGAACTCTGCTGCTCGCCCACACCCGCCCCTATACTCAAGAGGCCCACCACGACGCTTGCGCCATCCTGTATCCTCTTCTGCCTCTCGTACAGGACCTGCACCGCCTTGGTCGCCGAGCTCGCGAGCTCGTCGTCCGAGCGCGAGTCTGGGATCGGCGGCGCGTCCAGTGGGAGAGCCCCAACTCCCGACTGACGAAGGTGCTCGACGAGTGCAAGCAGCGCCTGCTTCAGCGTGCCGATGTCGGCTGTACACATCCCATTCTTTAGCGACTTTATGGCTCGAACCCGCACGTCGTAGATAGTCGACATACCTGCCGTCTGTACGGGACTCGTCCCATGATGATAGGCATGCTCGCTGCAGCAGCCCATTCGCGCGTTGACCTCGTAGGATTCAGGGTAGGACAACATCGGACACTCACATGCCGGCTAGTGCACTACGTGCGAGTCCCTGGACGCGAGCAACATGCGCCTGGGCGAGCTGGATGTTCTGTTTGAACACCTCCGGCGAATTGAGGTCTGCGCCTTGCAGCCCACCGCCTTGCGCACCCAGAGACACCTGTGACGAAAACGACGCAGGCAAACCCAAGCCTCCTGAGACGTCGAAGTTCAGAGAAGGGAAGCTGGGGAGACTCGACGGATAGAACGGTTGCTGCTGCATCGGCTCTCTGTTATCCACTTCAACACGGTGGTGGAAGAGATGAGAAATGATAGTATACAGTGCACAGCTAGTCCAGACAATACGATACACAAGACGCTCACGCCAAGTACATCACGCAGACACCATGTCATCCAGACACCATGATGCATACATTGGGTCATAAGCATATGCAGTACATGCGCGATACATGAAGGAGTCGACTATCAGCCGTTTTGGGAGGGTCAATACAAGCCCAGGTCGACCACAGGGAGAACGCGAAGCATTTAGAGCTTCTGCGCGTTCGCGACGGAGAGTGTCTGGCCCGCAGCCTTGGCCCGCTTGCGGAGCATCTGTGTCGACTTCGCACCACGGATGCCTCCACCCCACTGGCGGCGTTGCTCATCGTACTTGTCAGTGCTACACGGCAACAACTCAGTACAACGCGTACACGAAAGCGAGAGATAGCGCGTACAAGTTAGCCTTGGCGGCACTGACGAGGGTGGCGAGCTCGCGCTGGTCCTCGCTCTTGACGTCCTGGAGGACGAGGACAGCAGCGGTCTTCTTGTGGACGACCGTGCCGAGGCGGGCCTTGCCCTTGACGATGACGTAGGGGACACCCATCTTGCGGCAGAGGGCGGGAAGGAAGACAACCAGCTCAATGGGGTCGACGTCGTGGGCGATGACGACAAGCGACGCCTTCTTGGCCTCAATGAGGGCGACGGCGTGATTGAGACCGTACTTCACGAACAAAGGCTTCTTCTCCGGCTGGATCAGCAATTCGTCAGCGCAGCTGCGGGACGCCTATC